TTTTAATAATTATCTGTGAAAGAATGAGACCACTTTGTCAGACAGTGAGGATGACTTTAAGATACAAAAAGATCCAAATTTAAGATGATGCCCAATGAAATTGTAAAATACTTAATTTCGTTTATGAGAGGTATATTCACTTTTTTAGTTCTTCACACTATTTTGTACCTCAGTGTTCGATTTGATTCTTGTCTTTTATACCTAAGTTTATATTGTAAATTTGCACATGCTATGAACTCTTAGAAGTCTCTTCCCTTTTGTATGATTTTTTCATTCTTAAAGATTCACTGTTTTTTGCAAGAGCAATATTTCTGCTTTTCAAATCTAAGTCTTGTTTTTCTGTTTTTATTCACCTATAGCACTTTTTGCTTATCATATGCTAAAAAGATAACTGGTTTTCCTTCCTATTTTTATTTCTCTTACTAAGTATGTGTTCTGTGAATAGAAAATGTGGTTTTTGAGGTAAAAAACGATGTATTTCGTCGTTTGAAAAATGGTATCCTCAGCAAGCTGTTTGCCGCTGATCTGGCAGGAGCCAGGAGCCAGGTGCTTTTTTTTTTTCCTGGTCTCCCATGGGGTGCAGGGCCCAAGCACCTGGGCCATCCTCCACTGCACTCCCTGGCCATAGCAGAGAGCTGGCCTGGAAGAGGGGCAACCGGGACAGAATCCGGCGCCCCAACCGGGACTCGAACCCGGTGTGCCGGCGCCGCAAGGTGGAGGATTAGCCTATTGAGCCACGGCGCCGGCTAAATAAATATATCTTAAAAAAAGAAATCCACAGACAGAAGATCTCTCGCTCGCTCTCACACTCTCCATATCTCTTTCAAATAAATAAAACAAATCTTTTAAAAAAGTTTTTTGTAAGAATCTTTGGCCAGAGATCAGTGCAGTGGTTTAATGGGCTAAGCCTCCACCTGCAGTGCCAGCACCCCATGTGGGCACTGGTTCGAGTCCCAGCTGCTCCTCTTCTGATCCAGCTCTCTGCTATAGCCTGAGAAAGCAGCAGAAGATGGCCCAAGTCCCTGGGCCCCTGCACCCATGTGGGAGACCTGAAGAAGCTCTTGGCTTCTTGGCTATCTGGGGAGTGAACCAGCAGATGGAAAACCTCTCTCCCTCTATGTCTGTAACTCTGCCTCTCAAATAAATAAATACATGTTAAAAGAAAAAAAAGAGGCTGGCACTGCGGCTCACTAGGCTAATCCTCCACCTGCGGCACCGGTACTCCAGGTTCTAGTCCCAGTTGGGGCGCTGGTTCTGTCCTGGTTGCTCCTCTTCCAGTCCAGCTCTCTGCTGTGGCCCGGGAGTGCAGTGGAGGATGGTCCAAGTGCTTGGGCCCTGCACCGCATGGGAGACCAGGAGAAGTACCTGGCTCCTGGCTTCGAATTGGTGCAGCGCACCAGTCGCAGTGCGCTGGCCATAGTGGCCATTTGGGGGTGAACCAACGGAAGGAAGACCTTCTCTCTGTCTCTCTCTAGCCATCTAACTCTGCCTGTCAAAAAAAAAAAAAAGAAAAAAAGAAAAAAAGAAAAAAAGAAAAAAAAAGCTATGCATGGACTTAAGGTTGTTTGTTTTTGTACCCAAATAATCTTATCTTTTAATTCCATTTTTCCATTTGAGCTCCTCTCTGGGCCTCCATTCCCTCATCTGAGAAATGGGTATGCAGTCACACTGTTCAGCCAGGGCCCTCCCTGCTCTGAAGTGTGCATGCTTGCTCCCGAGCACAGGCTGTGTGTCTGGAAGAAGTTCGGCCAGCTTGGGAGAAACCAGGCTGCAGGCACGAGGTTGCCTAGGGAAGACGAGCCCTTGGGCCCGATCCTGCAAGCTCCGGATGCCCCCTTCAAGCTTCAGTCTCCTCGCTTGCAAAATGAGGGAG